ATTAAACAAAAAAGCAAGCAGGCCTAGGAATTTGTTTAGGAACATATCAAAAAGAATGGAAAGGATAGACTGGTGCCAGCACAGATGAAAACTGGTGCAGTCCAGGWACAACCATGGACTGCACTGACCAGTATCTAGAATGGAAGGACAAACGTAATTTCCTTTTAGAAAACCAGAACTAAAAATTTCACGTAGAACATGTAAGTGAACAGTGTCACTGGCATAGACTGATGCTGAAATCTTCCTCTTCTTATACATTTTATTTTTCTGAGTACCAGCATGCATGTAGAAAGCTTATTTGTAGTCCCAGCAACTTGCARTAATAAGAGGGTTTGAGGTAAGAAATGGAAGTCTAGTATTCATATAGAAAGCAGACTGGGAACTGTTTAATTGTTTCTCTGATGTTTTTCTCCCCTTAAAGCTGATGACTGCAGTGTAATTCCCCACATCCACATGCTCACATCTTCCTAGCAAAAAGAAACCTTTCTCTGAATACAGAAGAAACCCAAACCAAATTTAAGCTTACTGCTAAGGCCTTAAGCATGTGACTCAATGGAAGTGTTCTGCTCCCGTGAATGCTGTCACAGCTCCTAGTTTACCTTAGAATGTAGGTGAATTTGTTTGTGATTCAAACTAAATTTTTATGTCCAGAATCCTACTTGTAATTCTGACAGCTACTTGTGGGAGCAAAGTCAACAAACCTGTTTTGAGGTAGCAACCCTTCATGTTACATCCTTACATGTCCTCCTGCCTCCCTCCCAATAGCAGTAAATTTCCCTGGTACAAAAACTGGTCTTTCTCCATAATATATAAATGTTGTGTCAACTCTAGACCAGGATCAACAAACCTTACTGTATCTGGTGAACATGAAAGCAGGTAAAGTCTTTTAAAAAGTATCAATACAACCCTTTCATCTCCCAAAGGCTTTTGCTGCACACTACATAAGGCTCTGATCAAGAAGACATCATCAGACAGTTAGCACACTTCAGAGACAGTGCTTAAGCAGCAGACAACTAAGCAGAAGACATTACAGCTCCTCAAATTCAAAGGACCTAATAAGCAACTTTTCTAAACAGGATTAATATCCAACATGATATAAACTCTGCAAAGAATAATGGAGTTTGAGATGTGAATATATTTCTTGAATGATGGAGAAGAAGCCCTATTCTGTGCTGTTCTTGTATAACACTGACAGAAAAGTATGCTTCTGCTATTTTTAACACCCACTCCATTTCCTTTCATTTTCAACAGTGAGTCTAAATTAAAAGACAGCTAGAAAATGGTAACACTACAGTCACAAGAGAAAAGGAAAGCTAGACACACTTCTTTAAAAAAAAAGCCTCAAAACACAAGAAGTTGAAAGACCTATAAAGCCTCTAACCAATACTGTCCCCTTACCCAAAGAAAGACCACACACCCAAAAGCACAGCTCGTGTWGATAAAAACATATGCTGATATCAAAACCATCTCTCTGTGACCGAAATTCTAATGTGCTGTGCATGCAACRGGATTTATGGAAAAGCAATCTATCAAAAAAATGCTCTCATGTACTGAAGGAAAGGATAGTGCCACAGCTAATTCATTTTCTCCTTCACATCTCCTCTTTTCCCCACATTTTTAAAGCACTGTCCAACTGTAATGTTGAACATCCCTGACCTGAGCAGTGAAGACTCAATGTTTTAAGAAAGAAAAARATTTATTATTCACTAATATTTCACTATATTTTTTCACTATATATTTCACTATATATTTTCACTTCCCMACTGCCCGAAATATTTCCTTCATTCTCTGTCTGAAACACACAGGAATGGACTACAGCAACTAATGCCTCATTTTCTCTTCTGTTGGTCCTGAACTGTTGTAATTCATCAGCAATGCAAGCAGGCTTGCTGTTCCACAACAGAGTTTATAGACTTCATACCCGATAGTAATCAGTGAAGAAAAATTAATACAGCTTGCTCAATGGCACCAAGAAATTTTGGCAACTGCATCCTAAATGCCACCAAAAGAGACAGGCTTCAACTGCTGTAAAAACTATTTCACSACATGCAGTTACTATACTGATGTCTTTAAATAACATCTATAAACCCAAGAAATTCAATTAGTTTCACAGGCATAACAGTTATCATAGACAGAAGTCAGACATGCAACTACAGAGATATTTTGAAGTATGCTAGAAAGCAATAGAAAATGACTTTGAAAAAATCTGACACAACTGATGTCATAAAATTTTCTCTCCTCCAAAATTAGAGATTTGGCAAAATTAATCTCATTATCCTTAATCAGCTCTGAAAGTCATTGGCAAGACAATCTTATTCTCTTTGTCTTCCTTCTCCTACCAATTTCCTTTTGCTGTGTCAGCTCCTGCTGATAAACCAGCTCAGCAAGATCGTTAAACATAAAAATAACCTTACATTAAAAAGTTAGAGCACTGCCAGCTTGTCACATAACTAAATGGAACGGAAAGGGATGGTTGGGGTAGGGAACATGTCCTTTTGATGACAGTCTGCATTTTTGTCAGATCAAGCACACCACAAAACTGCATCCCATCAAGGCAGGGAGAGAGACCTAGTATTAGACATAATATGTCTGAGTCAGTCCAAGAGCTCCTGTAAGTAAGGCAGGGCTAGTGTTGAGCCTTTAACTCCTTAAGAATCTTAGGTTAAATTTGACTCACTGTGTTGAAAGACAGAAAACTGAGTTATCAACTTCTTTGGAAAATCCTACTCTTCACACATATTCAGTTGTGAAACACCACATCCTTTCAGAAGCCCACAGATTCCCACAGTACTGATTCCTTTCAGTAAGGGTCCATAAGACCAATGCTTTTATTACTGTCTTTTTCATTTAAAGTAAGATGTTTTTAAAGAAGCTTAGCAAACTGCAGAGCAAAGGAAATTCTTCCAAGGATTTGGAAACTACATCCAGAGGGCTTTAGCACATTTTGCTTCTGTAGCCACGTTGAGACTAGTGTTTTAAATGGTCTAAACTGGTTCTGTACTTAATTGACCTCAAATTAAAAACTTTTTTTATAAACTGTCTAATTAAAATACTCAATTAGGTTGTGTACTTAATTTCTTCTTTTACATTAGCATTTCACGTAGCATTTCACTTCCAAGTGCAAAAAAATATTAAAATTCAGGCGTATTTAGTGATCAGATAATCCCATTTTGGGAGACATCAATTAGTCTTATTTATTTAATTAAAATGAGAGCAACTTTTTAATTTCTAAGAATTTAAATCTTTACACTGAGAGATGATACACAAACATGATAAACAGTCATTAAATTTTCCAGATCAATTCCTTACTTTAAAAAACCCATAATCCTAAAGCTAATGGCTTAATTTTTGACAGAAGAATGTATAATTACCAGGAAAATGTCATTTCTAAGATTCAAAACTGCACAACTTCCAATGGCTTTTTAATATGTATTTATAGAAAAAAAACTACGGTTGCTATTAACTTTTTTTTTTTTTTTTTTTTTTTTTTTTTTAAAAGACAGCTTTGCACTATTTTTTTCTGAAAAGATAACACAGGAGCAAAAATGTATTCATCAATGACTAAATACGTTAGAAAGGGTGATGCACACACTGACACCTGAATTTCAAAGAGAACATTTAGAGTTCTGTTGGCTGTTGGGAGTCCTACAAGGGAAAGCAGTGGATGCCGCCTTCGAAGATGAAGAATGTTGCATACGACTATATTATAAAACTGATTTTATGCGTTATTATATTGCTAGTACGGGCAATCACGAGGCAAATCTCAGGGTATTTAAATGCTGTATTTTGAAAGGGTAAAAGGTTTCATTGAAGGCTACGCACGCAGCTCCTCGAAGGCTGCTGCCGGCCATGACAAGTGTCAGCCCAGGCCCCGCGGCTCTCCGGCCTGCACCGTGCTGCCGAGGAGAAAGGCCGGGACGACAGGGCTCTGCCAAGYCCGTGACAGAGGGAGCCTGTCCCGGGGCGGTGGCTCCGACTTTGGGGCACTCGCGAACCTTCTCCTAAGCTAGAGCCGGCTCGAGGTTCCGCCCAGACACGAGGCCCGAGGGCAGCCCCGCGGTGCTTTCCAGCCTTGGGAGGGGCAGCCCTCCTCGCCACACCAAGTGTGTGCTGCCGAGGTTGATGGCGGCAGGGTGCGGTCGGGAACGGAAGGGCGGCTGTGCCCCGCTCCCCACCTCGCCCGGGCCCTCTGAGAGCCCAGACCCGAATCCCAGGCCATTCAMCAGGCGGCGGGCTGCGTCGAGCCCGGCACGGGCACAACGGGCCTGGCCACTCTGTCCTTCCCTCACCTGGCTTGGCCGGTTTAGGTGGCGGCTTGGACATGGCTGGAGCCGGTCGAAGCACGGACGGGGRAGCGGCGCGACGTCGATCGGCTGCCCGAGCACAGGCCCGCGGTGTGCGGCGGGGTCTCGCAGCGCAGCCCCAGGAGCGGCGAGCAGCACGGCAGGAGCCGGGACGAAGGGCGGGTCCCTGCCGGGTCCCTCCCGCCCCTGACRGCCGCGGGAGCCGCACGGGCCGCGGGCGGGACGCGGCCAATCAGTGCGCGGGCCGGGGACAGGGCCCCGCCGCTTCCCTGTCCGGGCTCTCTGCGGGGCTGAGCAGCTGCTGAGGCGGGGCCGGGGCGGGGCCGGGGCGGGGCCGGGGCGGGCCGAGGCGGGGCAGGGCAGCCCGACGGACACGGGCTGCGAAGGGGCCGCTCCCGGGAACGCGGCTGGGGCGACGTGTGAGTGGCCCCGGCCCGGCCCGGCCCGGCCCGGAGGTGGGCGCGCCCCGGACAGCGCAGTCACAGGACATAGAAGGCGGATGCCCCGCCTGCGCAGAGCCGTGCTGGCGGAAGGATGTGCTCTGGGTGGCTTCTCGGCGTGGGTGAAGTTAAGTGCGAACTCCAGAGGTGCTGAAGTGTTGCAGCTGCAACTGGTGGAGGTGCGACCGTCTGTGGCGAGCGGCGCGCAYCGCTGAGAGCCTCCGCCAGCCCCGCTCTGGGGACTCCATACCTGAGACATTCCCGGTTCGGCTCCGGTGCACCTTCGGTTGTCCCCGTCCGGGGGAGCTTTGCCGCGGTATGCCCTTAAAAATGGGGTGACAGCAGTACTGTGCTAGCGTTGTCATGGGTTTGTGCTCTATTTAGATATGCCAAATTGATCCGGGGTAGTTTAGAATTTCTGTGTTGCAGCACTTAGGACAAAATTGCTTTTGCAGYTTGTGTTGCACATTACTTAGAGGGGCAGAAGAGCTAGTGGGTTTCTTTTTTATGGTGGTGGTTTTTGCCTTAAACTGGGATTAACTTGCATATAGACAGTGACATAAAGTCCAAAGCTGAACATGTTTGCCCGGTTTATTGCATAACATCCTTTGTGGGCCAAAGGGTAACCCTCTGCAATGCAAGCTTTACTGATGTTTTAAAAAACTGAGTTTTAAAAAAGAGCTTTTTAATTCCAGTTTTTAAGTAGCCCGAGTATCATCACTTCCTAAGAACACATCGTGTCTGCACTCTTTGCATTGATAGTCAGTACTATAAGCATGCAATGCATCATTGAACTTGGAAATTTTATTATTGTTAGAAAACCGTGGTGTACTAACTTTAAACCTTGTGAATGCCAACTACTGTAGATAAGCAGCACTATTGCRAAGTGATGGCTATCACACTAGTCAGTATGTCTTTTGCTGTTTTTTTTTTTTTTTTAAACATAAAATCATATAATAAATCACATGTGAAGTTTCACTCACAAACAGGACTTGGTTTGTTTGTA